TAGCGAACGAGCCGAACGAGAGCTTCTTAATGAGCCGAACGCGAGTTGTTCATGAACAACGAGCCGTTTTGACAGCCCTATACGTGATAAGCGATCCTCCATAGTAATGCGAGCAAACGAGTCAACTTGGCTGCCATTTAATGTTTATTTGAACTGAATTGGATCTGAACCATTATTGGTTCACATTAACTTGGGCATTTACATAGAAATCACCCAAAGCTTGTTATTTAGAGATCAATCACTTTCATTCATCCAATTTTCAATTTTTGGCCCAAATATCAAAATTGAGTTGTTCCAAGTTCGAATTATTAAATAGTTAAAGATAAACAAATATTTGTGCATGCGTGAATGTAATCTTATTTGAGTCTATTGATTTAAATAAATAAATAATATTTTTCATGGTTTTTTGAATTTTTTTATCAATTATATAAATCATAAATGGAAAATTCTTAATTTTTCATATTTTTATTTTGATTTGTATACTTTATTTAAAATTTGAAATTTATTATTTTCCAATAAATCAAGATATAAGAGTAGAACAGGATAGATTAATCAAAGTAAATTGAGTATTCATGAATTATTTTAAACAAATTTATTTTGAACAGATACATTTTCGAACCAATCAAATGCAATTAAAATTTGAGGTTGCAAAGACATGGTTCATTTAAAAACAAAATTTGAGATAATAAAAATTGGTGCATTTATATGCAAACCTCAGGATGTTCAATCCAAAAATGTTTTGTATATCACGCCCAATGAATAGAATGTTGGTTGGATAAGAGAAATAAAAGTAGGAGAAAAAGAAGACTCAAGTAATGCTAAATCTCAGGGAATTTGTCCAATAGTCCCCTTTTTCGTGAAAATAAACCTCTTATTTATAAGTCATATGAAGGGTATAGCAAATTGCATGATTGTCCCTCCTTTAATGAGAATATTACACTCATTTATAAATCATTACGCCTTTATATATTTGTACTAAGACATGTTTTGATATTGTCACCATTGTTGGCATCATTTCATGTTTGTAACTGTATTCAAAATCATTTTATGTTTGTAAACGTATGATATATCTTTGTGCTTGTTTGGTTGGGCAAGAGTTGAAAGGCCAATCGAATGATATGCAGATGACTTCTCTGAAAAAATTCATTGCAAAGGTTCACTGTTCTTGAAAATGATTGTTTAGTCCTTGAAAGGGAATGTTTCGTCAAACACAAAACACGTTATTATAATCTGACAGGCAACCTTCCTTTGATCAATGAGCTTGTATAGAAGAAATCCCCTCAGGGCAATTGTTGATTTTTCTAATACAAGTGTCGATTGAGTAATGGTTGACTTGGGCACATGGTCTGGTCATACTTTTGTTTGATCGGCCTAAAGTCCACCAACTAATGCAGTGATGAATATTCCCACTTCTGCTTTCTTATTGGTGTGAACCGTTGGATCTCCTCGATATTAAAGTAACGACACATATTGTGGAGTAACAAAATATTCTGCAGAATAACGACACACATTATGGGAGTACTCTATGACAAAGTCTCTTACATACGGAAAAATATAATGTTCTAAACATTGTGAAATGACGTACCTCGAACACAGTGTATCAAAGACCTAGTCATAACAACCTAGGATCGTCGCAAAATGAATTTTTCTGTATACGAATATTGTACTTTAATAAACCTTGCAATCCTTTTCCTTGGTGCGAGACAATGATCTATTTTTATACTTTCGAGCTTATAGGGGATCTTTTCAAGTGGGCTAGACCCCACAAATTTTTTACTTTATAGGGATTTCTCAGATACAATTTTGTGATCTCATTCTATTTCTTTTTTTAATTGTGTGTGTGCGCGCGCTATATTTCATACAACTCTAAGATATTAAATTATCACTCTACCGCCGCAAATTTTTTTCACGCAACAATTATATACTTTATATGCTTATATTTTTTTTATTTAAAAAAAAAACAACATATTTTCTAAAAACACCAAAATAATATTTAGATGCTTTCGAGTATTTTTTAAAATAATTAAACACATTTTAACATATTAAACATAATTTGTTTAAAAAAATATTTAAAAATAAACAAATAATGAAAATATAAATTATAAAGGAAGATTTACAAACATACCACTCAATTTTTATGTATTTTATATCTATCACCTAAACTTCAATTTTAAAAATAAAAAAAGGTGCGATTTTTGACGTGATAGGAAAGACTTTTAGTGATATAAATATAGAAATAGATGCGTTAGAATTGGGTGGCATGTACATGTCCTTAATTTAAAATGAATATGGTCCACAGCAGCACAAAGTTTAGGTACTGGATGCGTTAGAATTGGGTGGCATGTACATGCCCTTAATTTAAAATGAATATGGTCCACAGCAGCACATTCTAAGGCTTATTTAATAAAATTTAGACAGGATATATAAAATTTGAAGTCCTTTGTTCTCCCCACATTCAGCAGCCTATTTTGAATGGAAAAGGTCAATCAATGAGTGAATGGAAGGGAGTAAATTCATTTAGTGAATTAAATGCTACATTTTGATTTAATGAATTAAAATACAATCTTGAAGTTTATTGCATTTATTATGATTTCTTTGTTGTTAGAAATGAATTATGATGTAAATCGAATTTTGGTACTTGATATGAGTCAGCACCACTAATGATAGGTCCTAAGTAAACTCTAGTTGTGATACATTGTGGTAATACGATTGGATTGACATTCATCACTAATGTGATAGGTGTTAGTTCGCTCAGATGCTTGAGATGAAGCCGATCTTAGTGATTCCATCAAGATCCCATCGGAATGCCCTTAACCCTTGTAGTACATGCCTCGTGCCTAGATATTGGATAGGAAACATCTTGTAGATGCTTATTTTAGAACTAGGGTTGGGGTATTATTAGGATTTTTATACACATGACTGTAATTTTTGTTTGTGTGTTTGCCGTTGTATTTTGATTGTCATTTCGTGTTTTTACAGTGTGTGAAACTTGCACACTAGCATGTTGGGCAATTTTTTTTTTAATAGGGAGTCATGTCCAATATGGAGGAACTCAAACTAAATAATTAAAAATGTATTTTCTACATGTGTTGCTTTGCTCTTAACATATATGATATGCTTCACAATATGTTTCATGTCTCATGCATGCGCTAACTTTCTTTTATAGGTTGGTTCTTTTCACATTATGTTTCATGTCTCATACATGCGCTAACTTTCTTTTATAGGTTGGTTCTTTTTTGAAATTGCATAGTTGTGATCAAATAAATATTATTGAGAGACTGACCATACTTTTATCTTCATGATGTTACTGACTCAATGACACTCGATTTGTTACTTTTTATTTTATTTAGAATGTTTTACCATGTCTATTATGTTGTTATTCACACTTTCTTTCTGTGTGATTTGTTTAGGCTCTCAATTATGTGTAGGCTCCTAGGATAAAAACCTTTTCTATAAAATCTTATTGTTAAAAAAAAAATTTATTAAAATTTAGGATTAAAACTAACTAATTTTAAAATCAGCACTTTACTTTCTTGTATGTTCATTCAAATTAGTTTGAAAATGATCTCACATTACATGATTATCACTCAAGTCATAGTAGTGGGACCTCTACTGGTGGGACATATTTTTTTTATGTATGTGCCCACCACAGATATTCAAAGATTTATATCTGAATGATTGGATACAACATTTAAATAATAATATACCATATCGAGGGTAACAAACACTACCTTGGAATGAACTAATCATTCAAATGGTAAAGAACTTTAAAATTATGAGTCTACGTAAATCAAGGGTTTTTCTCTATCTTATGTGCATAAGATAGGGTTTATTACTTTATAACAAGTTATGTGTAAGTAAAAAAGGTTGACAAGTGCGTAAAGTGATTTAATTATTTAGTTTTTTTTTTATATTTTCATATTAATTTAATTATTTTCTATATTATATGTTATTTATGTGTGCAATATACATGCATAACATAAAATTTTGAGAAAAAATACAGTTTAGAATATAGTGCCCTAGAACTAAGCATGTAGCATTGTGACAATTGATTGATAATGCCACAACGCCGGTAAAGTAGCACTTCAATACCAGAAGTTGAACTCTTGATGTAAGAAAACATGAGAGGAAGAAACTACGACGCTAGAAGCAAGCTCCACAACACCTCGTCACCAAGAAGATAGCGCTGTTATGCCCAAATCTTAATTCAAATCCTCAAGTACAAGATGTAACGCCCAAATGTAGTGCCACCATGCCATAATGTCAAACCAACAACATTACGATGCTCATCATCTACTTTGGCGGTTTCCACAATGTTAATGGTTTTGCTGACATGCTCCCAAATTGGATTTAAATGCATTTCATTTCATACATTTAGAGGGACATAGGAAAAATATTAGAGAGAGGCTAGGGAGTGATTTTAAGTGTGTTGTGAGTGTGAGAGCTTGTCTTGAGAGATAATTGAGAAAGAAACGAGTGGAGGAACGCGTTGGGAGAACGAATTACTTGGAGCAATGATAATCATTTGCATGCTAGCTTTAAGGTTTTTTTAGCTTTATCCTTTTTTCAAAAACTTATTAGCCTCTACTTTTCATAGGTGGCTTTGTGGGGTAGTTACATTCTTAATTAGAAAGAATGCAATTCAAACAATTTATGCTTTTTGGACATAAATGTCACTTAATTTGATTTTTCATTCCATCATTGATGGAACTTGTCTATCAACTTAAGATCTTGTCAATCAAGGTCTATAAGGTACAATTGCTTCATTTGAATGATACCCATGGTTCTTAATAAAGGTGAAAGACAACTAAGCATCTTCTCAAAGTAAACTAAGAACTTCGATGACTTGGAATGATGAAAAATCATAAGATGTTGATTGAGTCATATTCCACTTCTCCTTGTTTGTTCCCATTATTCCTTGGGTTAATTTAAGTTCTCTCTTCTCTTAGTCACCTTCTTGACTATGTTAGTTTTCATTTCTCTATTTTAGCAACCCAATTTTGGGCTATTTTACTTAAGTTAGCTAGCATCTTCTTTACTTTAGTTCTTGATTCTTTATGCTAAATTTTCCTTTCCAATGATAACTTACTTATCTTTCTTTTAATTTAAGAATTCTTTTTCTTTATCTCCTATGGTGTTTAGTTCATCATTATATCTCATTTGTAGCGTTATAAGCTCTAGAGCATTCATTCCATGATAGTTTCTTTAACCTACAATTTCATGCAATTTTAAAGATTTAAACTTGTCTAAAGTTTTAGCATATATGTTTTCTTATCTTTAATATTATCATCCTTAGCTTTTATTTTCTTCAGTGTCCTTATGATAAGATTATAATATTCTTCTTATAAGAAGATGAAGCTTTTTTTTGTTTAAAACTTTATTTTTTATGATCACAATTATATCATACAATCTATCATATCTTAAAGTTTAACTATCCCTTATATCAGAACTTGAATCATCTTCATTCTCATTTTCTAAGCCTTGGGAGTCCATATACCTATTCATGCATTAAGGCTTGCCTTTCTAATTATCCTTCAATTATCTAATTATGCTTTTAACTACAAGTCATCACTTTATTATGCGTCCAAAACATTGTTTAATGAAAGAGATCAATTATATAAGTTGATCACAAATGAAATTCCTTAATTGACTTTTTAAAAATATTTGTAAGATGCAATTAACCTTAAAAATAATATTACTTGAGAAACTTTAAACTTAGCAACTCTAATGACTCTACTTGGATATACCTTTTCAAAAGAAATGTTAGGTAATATAAATATATGACTATTTTATCATTAGTATCACTAATTTATAAAATTTATTCATTTATGATCAACTCTCTATTATAATTTATTAAAAAAATTTAAAGTTTTAATATCTCAATTTATTATACATATGAAAAATTCACTCTTAACAAGCCTTAACCAATTAGTAGGTTAGTTAACATCGAGTTTGACTAAAATCAATCCTTAGGCATCAAAATGAACAGACCGTTAGAACTATAGTTTATATAAGTTTGTCTTAGGTACTTTGTAAAATGGTGAGCCAAAGGAATTAGTTAATTATCAATTTTCTTGCGTCTTGGATACGAACATCCTTTTACTTATCAAAGAGATAGGTATACCAGTTGATTTGATATATATATATATATAAATAAATCAAATAGGAGAATGATTGACGAAGTAAAAAATAAAACGATAAAAAATTCACACCAGAAAAGAACACACAGATTTATGATTCGGCAAATTGTCTACATTCACGGAGCCTACGTTCACGAAGTTATAGAGGATTTTATTACTTGAGGAATTTACATCAGTCGAACACCTCGACTTATAAGAGGAAACCCTCACTTTATTGCTCTCTCTTCTTCTATCTTTATTCTACTCTCTCTACACCGAGATACACCGAAAAAACTCTGCTATTGCTCTCTCTTCTTCTATCTTTATTCTTCTCTCTCTACACCGAGATACACCGAAAAAACTCTGCACTGAGATATATCGAAGAAGACAAACCTACAAGAGAAATAAACCTAATTTCTCTTCAGTCACAAGCCGCCAAGAAGAAGCCAAGGGAGAACAATCATCTTCTTCTTCTTTCTTCTTTCTTCACCGCAAGGAACTACTTATTGCACTTCCCTTCCTCTATACCGAGGAAACCCGAAGAAGAACATCAAAATCGTAACTTCTGAAAAACTTAAGGGGAACTCTTCTGTTCGCAACTTAAAGGAGACGAAAGACGGCGTCGTTTCACGATCCAGGAGGCAGGAGCAGCGGTTATCGCGAAACAGTGAAGGTTCGCGACTTTGCGGTCGAAGCAGGAGGCGGGAGCGGGAGCTGTTCGCGGGAGGCTAGATCGCGACGTTTCACGATCGGGGGAGCTAAAGGCATGAGCAGAAAGCAAAGGTGAAAATTCCTATCGGGCTCTAGTGTTAACATAGGCATCTCTTGACATTTATACAATTTAATATTTAAAATTTTATACAACTATTTATCATTAATTTTGAAAGAAAAAAATTTTACAGGTCTATAAAATTTTAAATCAAGATTCATATTTACTAAAATAAATGTTAACATGCTACATCAATATTTAAATTTTATAAAGTCATACTATAATTTAATTTGAGTAAATGAAGTTTCATGTCTTAGTCAATACCAGTTTCTTTATTGTGGCTGCATGCGCCGAAGTCAGTCACATGAAGAAGGGCGCGCCTTACCGTCCAAAAAGCTAGTTCTAAATTTTAATTATAAATTTAGTTATAACAATTTTGTCCTCGACGTATAATTTCTCTAATAATTAAGGGGCAATCTGATTGTTTAACCAGCCGAAACGGGTCGCACATTCCAGGCGTGCCGCCAGGCCTCGCAACCGCCAGAACAGAATCCAAGCCGTCCATACGAGCCACGTGTCAATTATCAATCCGTCCAATTTCCCACACCCATCTCTCCTTCGGCCATCCGTGTTAAACTTACGCCAAACACGGGGGCCTCACACGAGTGCCCTAGACATCCAATCCCTTCGCACGCAGCCTCGCCGGACACCGCCGGCTAGTCTCCGGCACGCCATCCGCCCGAAATCGTGAACGAATCCCGCTTCAGTGCAATTCCACGCACGATCCCCGCAGGAAGGCATCGCGAGATCACAGAACACCGCGGGCGGCTCTGGTGAGTAGGGATCGGAAGGAGTATCGGCGACGATAACCTTCCCCGCCGCTCGTCTATCGCTCCCTGTTCTGATCAGCTTATTCACTTCTATCCAACTTCCGAAGCGGGCAGAATGAGCTGAATCTCTAGGGCTTCGATCATCGGAGTTATGTTCGGATCTGAGTGAAGATCGCGCGAAGTAGCACGCGAGATGGAGAGGCTTGTGGGGACGAGCGAGGAAGAGGACATGGAGATGGATTTGGAGGTGAAGGAGGAGGATGAGGATGACGAGAGGAGCCGGAGGTTGATAGCGGCTGAGGAGATGGGAGGCAGGTTCTTTGAAGAGGAGTCGGCTTCCGGCGATCAGATCCATATCCATGGGATGGGTGGGAGAAGAAGCCGGCCTAAAGAGGAGAAAGAGAGGACGAAGCTGAGAGAGAGGCACCGGCGAGCGATCACGGCGAGAATTCTGGCTGGCTTGCGGCGGCACGGGAACTATAATCTGCGAGTTCGCGCTGATATTAATGATGTGATCGCAGCACTTGCAAGGGAAGCCGGATGGGTCGTCCTTCCCGACGGCACCACTTTCCCTTCTCGTTCCTCTCCTACTTCCTCCCAGGTTCCCCTTTCTCTCTCTCTCTCTTGCCGGCTCTCAACCTCTCTCTCATCGCTGTGCCACGCTCTTTCCTTTTGGATTTATTCTCATTAGTTAAATGAAATAATTTTACGAATATAATTTCAGTTTTAGCGAATTTTATTTTCTTAGACGGATGTTAAACAGACTCCTGGTTTTTTATATTTGTTAACCGTTTTTCAAGCCTTTTTTTTTATTAGAAAATATTACTTGCGGATAATATATATATATATATATTATAGTATTGTAATGACATTATTATAGTATTGTACCAATCAAATATATATGCCTACACTTTCCACAGGTAATAATTTTTCCAACAGATTTTTAGGTATTTTGACAAATTATTCGTTGGATTTTGGGCTGTTGATTCCAGAAAATATTTGCGTACGTCGGGAGATTATTCAGAGGGTATAAGGGGGTTATCTGTGTTATACCCCCTTTTATTTTCCCTGTAACCTAGCTATAATCTATCTGTAGCATACAAATAAGTTTTGCGCTTCTGTAGTTCCGATAGTTACAGGTAAATTACAGGGAGGTTACAGGAGGGTATAAAACGGATATAACCCGCCTGTATCTTCTTAATAACCCCCGACATATGCATCGCTGCGTATGTCTTATGCACCTAAATATTTTCCGTGGAGTTCATGCTCCTTTCTAGTTTTCAATAAATGAATTTAAAGTTCAGTTTTATCCCAAGATATCTAAAATTCAATTACATATCACTTGAAATATTGCTATTTAAAAATCGATTTCATAGGTATTTTTTAAATTATCAGATTCATATATTTTCAATTGTCATGATTAAATTATTAAAAAGTCTATAAAAAATGAGAATATGAATTGAATTTTTATTATGAATTTTGATATTTATGTGATACTTTATTAAAATAACAATAATAGATTTTTTTTGGGGGGCAATGTGCCTCTTTGAATCCATCAATTTAATTCTCAAGTAATATGCGACCAACAACAGTAAGTCTTTATCCACTAAATGAGATCGATTTATCATAATTTTTCGACAAATTTTAGACTTCCCTCACATAATCCTGCATTTTTTCTAGGATATGGGATTTGGGACCCGACAAATGCAGCCACCAAAAGATAATTATTTTATAATGTAACATTATTTCAGCTGCATTGCCCAATTGAATCATTAGCGTCTCTCTATTTTATTGCCAAAACTCTTAGAACAAGGAAGCTATTTTAAGTTATCTCCCCTCCCGCCTACAGATTGGAAAACCTGCCGAAGCTTTTCCGCTTGCAGTGGCGGCGCCGCCCTCGACGACGCCGCAGCCTAGGGGATTATCCCCTGCCGGCGAGCAGGTTCGTTTCGGTGATTACCGGCAGGGGCGACCCAAGGCACATTTCCTTCTGCCTACGATGGCCAATATCGTCAAGGGGTGGTGATGGGAGGAGAACGATGTAATGAGAATTCTCCTCTTGTCGCTAGTTGCGTGGAAACCACTAACGAGAAACAGGTGAGTGTGTAGACAAGGTTACTTCGGTACAGATTAAAATACTTATATTTTTTTTCAGTTTGTTGAGCTAGTGATAACTAATGTACTGCTTTTGTTAGGGTTAATTTGTTTTGGTGTAACTGCTTAAATGTCATTGGGGTTCTTGATTGACATTGGATGAAATTCTTATTCTTAAACCTGACTTTCCCGCTTGACTTTCAAAAAATGTAAGAAGTGAGATTTTTTCATGAATTTTAAGTACTAATCTTTATGACTAGCTGTTTGTTAGCATGTTTTGGAAAGGGTTTAAGCAAAATTTCTTTTAAATACCGGCAAATTGTAGGATAGGAGCATTTAAATCCTACATAACTTTAAATACCATTTCTTTACCATTTTACCTTAAATCTCTTTGTTACTAAATTTTGAGATTTGATAGATTAAACTTACATTCATATCATCTATTCCTAGTCACAAACAACTTTCTCTAATAATGGTTGATAAAAATTTTTTTTGTTAAAATCATTAGTATTCAAACAAGCTAATTTATTATAGATGTGTTAATTAAAAAATAAGTCAACCTTAATAATTAAGTGTAGTTAATTAAATATACTAACTTAAGAGAATTGATATTTTTTGTGATTTAATTTAAATTAATAGTATTTTCTATGTTTAATTAACTTCATAAGTTTTTAATTAACGATTATTTGGGATGTCACACTAGTTATAATTTAATTAATCTAATTAGGGTTGACATAGGCCTTGTGTATATTATAAGATTTCATATTTGTGTAGATCATTAAATTCTTAAATAGTTAGTCAATCAGTTTATCAACATTTAACTAGATTAAACGTCTAATTTACCTATCCTTTTTAAGGATCTAACACTTCCATTATTTATCAGATCTAAATTTATAATATTTACTGAATCTTTTTTGAGCTAAGTCTTACCTACAACTAAAAAACTCCTTCAGTTTACTTTTAATTTTTAGCAACAATAGAATAATATTAAATTAATTAAATGATTGATTAGAAGTTATTTATGATAATAATAAAGAAATGAATAGTTAATGCATGGGTGGCTTTAAATGAAAATAATGTGGCCCAACAAGCAAAATAATTGAGTTCATGCTGAACAAGTAATTATAATTATTAACTCATTTCAATGCAACTTTGAAATAAGATTCAAATACTTAAAATGAAGCAAATTGGCCCAAACAACAAGAGAGCGTGTTCATTGCTTTAGTTTTAATAATAGAAGTGGACTAATTTTGATTTTTTTCTGGAGTGATCATTGTTGTTCAAAACAGTAAATTTAGTCATGATGTTGTGTTGAATTATTGATTATTTAGTATACCTGATTGTTGAAACTTTATTTTGTTTCATAAAGGAACATGTGGAGTTGCTTTGCTTGAAAATTTGGCGTAGTGTTGGTGCATATTCAAATTTCAAAATCAACATTGCCTAATGATGCTATTTATAATATTTTTTTTTATGGATGTTCTCACAACTTATTATGTCTCATCAGTAAAGCATTAGACATAATAACGACGACCAATTTAGTCAGACAAATTTTCTAGCAACTTATTTTGACTTCGCTAATCATGATTGAGTGAGTAAAAAAATAATTTTCCTAAGTCGCTATAAAATATATACTATATAAAAGTATTTTAATAGATCCATTATATTCATTAGCATGAAAGCATGCATAATTTAAATCATTAAAATAGGTTATAGATCTTTTAATAAACTTCATGAAAAATTTATACATACCAAAACTAGTCTTTAATTGTCATTATGATTTTTCTAACAAACAGTGAAATCCTTAAATCAAATATTGTGATGCATGATAAAACTGGCTCATCTGACTTCACCCTATCAACGTCTTTTTCTTGTTGGAAATAATAGTTAACATAATATCTAATGAGGTAAAAGCTTAATGTGATATACAAGTTTACTATAAAGTATAAGCATACATGAAAAGAGCATAATATAGTATGTTGATCATTTGAACTAATTGGAGCATTTGTATTCATCAATATAGTTAGCTTAGTGTAGTATGTTTGACTTAAATTTATTTTATAGCTATATGAGGTATAGATATAAGAATAGATAGTAAATAAAAATGTTCGCATGGAAATTGAATAAATCTTCTACTTGTATTGGGTCATTTAAGACATTGTTCAAGTCTATTAGTGTATGAAGTTACTTACTTTAATTTTATCTTTTTCTCATTTATACTAGTCATAGTTAAGTGTCATGATATTTATATAGGTTTTGACACATTTATTTGATTTGGTCATTACGTACCCCATCGATCATGATAATCATTGATAATCATGATAACCTGGTAGGCAGAATGAGAAACTTGCCATCTTTTTTACCGAAGCCGAAGGTATTCAACTTACCTCCTCTTATCGTCTGAATTTGGTTGAGAAATTTTTATATAGTCATATCAAAATAGAGCTTATTCGCAAAGAATTTAATTTTATGCATCTTGTTGGGGAGTGTAAAATTGGATTATTAGAAGGGAGACACAATCTTATTCAAATTAATAATGAAGAAGATTACACACGTTTATTTGTTAGAAGGATAATCTGGATTGATAACAAAACAATGAAGGTTCTGAAATGGTCTATGGATTTTGACCCACAGACGGAACCGCCAATCATTCCGGTTTGGATTCGCCTTCATAGTATGAAATTTCATTTCTGAAATGGTCTCAGCTTATGGAAAGTCACTCAAGACAGACATTCCTACTTTTAATCTTTCTCGTCCATCTGAAGCCAGAATACTTATTGAAAGAGAAATTACTTCTTCCGCTTCTGAGGAAATTTGGTTGGGAACACAACACTAAGGATATTGGCAGAAGGTAGAGATTGAGCCATTTTCTTCGTATTGTTCGAATTGTCGTATTTTCGGCCGCTCTAGTTCTCAATGCCATCATCTACGCCCCCACCTCAGACAAAAAAAATAAAGTGCTCCGCTAGAGGCTGTGATTCCATCTCCTGATCAGCTCCCTGATCAGCTCCAAGTTATTGACACTATTGATCATTAAAATGAAACCCCTGAAGACGTTCTGTAGACGACAATATCCCCATAGGCAATATGTCAACCATTCAGTCTCCACGCAATGCTGTAGCTTCCCCGTCTTTGGAATCTTCTATCGTGGAGGCGAGGGAGATTCTTCACTCCGTCTGCCCTAGAACCTATCGCTGATATTACAGGTGGAAATACGTCTACTGCTTCACTATCGCCTCATCAAGTTCTGAAAAATGTCAGTGTTACTCAGACTTATGGGGATCATGATCCATTGATCAGATGAGTCAATCCTCGGATGAGGAATGATAGGTCTACACATCAAGAAGGAAGAATAAGAATGAAGACCTACTTGAGCTCAGGAATCTGATGTGATACTTTGGTTACTTCAGGTAATGATACACACCTCACCAATTTGTTAGCTGACTCCCTTTCGAGAACTAGAGACAAAGAGATGACTAAAGTGGAACGTCCCTAACACTTTTGCGCCCGTTGGTGGTTTTTTAGTTTTTTATCTTTATGTATCTTTGCTTTATTGGGGTTTTGTGTGTGTTGTATTGTGTGAATTAGGTCTTCTTTTAGGCCCTCTCATACATACAACATATCTGTACCTTTTTCTCTTTAATATATTAGCCATTGGGCTTTTTTTTTTAAAAAAAAAATGTAAATCTTTCTTGTGTTTAAAAAGGCTACTATATATATATCTATATCTAAATGATCAAAATAAAATGTGCAGTTTTATGAAAATAAGTAAGATGTTTTTTTAGATGCGCAAAAAAGTAGGATATAAATTTTAAGTACATCTTTGTATTATTTTTTTGGATATTATAGATTCAGTGATATTAATCATCTTATATTGATTTCCGTATGCATGACATATATGGCTGGCATGCATGGCATCTTAGAAAATTTATAAAATAACAGTTTTATAATGATATTGTGTATATATTGTAATGCTTTTCCCTTGCTAACTATTTGTTTTTTGAAATGTTACTCGCCTTTAGCAGCTGGATCTTTTTGTAGTATTAGCACTCATTTCTGATTTAGTTGTGGTTACCGATGATGATTTTTATCATCCCTCAGGTGATTGATCTTCCGCAGAAAATGCCAGAGCGTGATTTTGCAGGCACCCCTTATGTCCCAGTAAATGTCATGTTGCCTGTAAGGCTTAATTTTTCTTGATGCATTCTTATATTACTGTAGTAATCTTCAATTAGGCTTTGTACTTGGGGTTGTCTTGTGAAAATAGCAAAATGTTCTAGGGCATTTACATACATGCCGCCTAATTCCAATGGATTTACTTATCTAACACCTAAACCTTACATTTTACATTTATACCACCCAAGTCTTTCATATTACATAAAAAACCGCCATTTTTAACTTTTTTAAACTGAAATACATATTTTTATGAATATGTAAGGTGGCATGTATGTTAAAATTGATGTTTAGGTGTGTGATACGTAAATACATAGGAATTGTATCTAAACCTTCCATTTTTTAATGTAATTTGGTTATCTGACTGAAACCCTTGTATGTATATATTACTTTCTATTTTTTTTTTTAAAAAAAAATGTAAATCTTTCTTGTGTTTAAAAAGGCTACTATATATATATCTATATCTAAATGATCAAAATAAAATGTGCAGTTTTATGAAAATAAGTAAGATGTTTTTTTAGATGCGCAAAAAAGTAGGATATAAATTTTAAGTACATCTTTGTATTATTTTTTTGGATATTATAGATTCAGTGATATTAATCATCTTATATTGATTTCCGTATGCATGACATATATGGCTGGCATGCATGGCATCTTAGAAAATTTATAAAATAACAGTTTTATAATGATATTGTGTATATATTGTAATGCTTTTCCCTTGCTAACTATTTGTTTTTTGAAATGTTACTCGCCTTTAGCAGCTGGATCTTTTTGTAGTATTAGCACTCATTTCTGATTTAGTTGTGGTTACCGATGATGATTTTTATCATCCCTCAGGTGATTGATCTTCCGCAGAAAATGCCAGAGCGTGATTTTGCAGGCACCCCTTATGTCCCAGTAAATGTCATGTTGCCTGTAAGGCTTAATTTTTCTTGATGCATTCTTATATTACTGTAGTAATCTTCAATTAGGCTTTGTACTTGGGGTTGTCTTGTGAAAATAGCAAAATGTTCTAGGGCATTTACATACATGCCGCCTAATTCCAATGGATTTACTTATCTAACACCTAAACCTTACATTTTACATTTATACCACCCAAGTCTTTCATATTACATAAAAAACCGCCATTTTTAACTTTTTTAAACTGAAATACATATTTTTATGAATATGTAAGGTGGCATGTATGTTAAAATTGATGTTTAGGTGTGTGATACGTAAATACATAGGAATTGTATCTAAACCTTCCATTTTTTAATGTAATTTGGTTATCTGACTGAAACCCTTGTATGTATATATTACTTTCTATTTAATTATTCTATGCTGTGATAGCTTGGTGTCATTAATACAAAGTGTGAGCTGGTTGATCCGGAAAGCCTAATGAAGCAGTTAAGAATTTTAAAATCTATCAATATCGACGGTGTTACTGTTGATTGCTGGTGGGGAATTGTCGAGGCACATGCTCCACAGGAATACAACTGGCATGGCTATAAGCGGCTTTTTCAGATTGTCCGAGAGCTTAAACTTAAACTGCAGGTTGGTTTTACTTGCGTTTTACATATTTGATTTAGTTTTTATACCAATAAAACTACAGTTGACCATCACACTTATTTACTGCATCAGTTTCTTTATTTTTGTTTTTATAGACTTGTATTAAATATATTTTCTTGAGCAGATTCTAGTTAGACTTTGTTCTCTTTGAACTTTCCTGGTTTGTAAAGGGGAGAGCATTAACGATATAGAGGCACATAAGTACCAGTCATCTCATTTATTTACTGTGTCAGGTCCTATTTATCTTATCCATATTAACCTTGTATTGGCTATATTTTCTTGAGCAGATTTCAGTTGGATATTGCTCTCTTTGAACTTTTCTGGTTTGTTAAGGAGAGTGCATTAGGGATATAGAGGCATATAAATATCTGAGGTTTCTGGAAAATTTTAATTTTCAGTAATTTTGGTAAAAATCAAAATCTCCAATTAGGTGATTCTTAGCTATTTGTCACATAAATACAAGGAAATTCATTGGTTTTTTTTCTTGAGAGTTGCAGCATGTCGTGTTTTATTGGTGTAATTTTACAAGAGTTCTCTGTTTTGGCAGTAGTATTAAGATCATCTATTAATTTTCATGGCGAAGTAGACAATTTAGGTGTTATGACCCGACCCAAAAACTTGAAAGCAAATGTAGAAATAGACGGTCAAACAATAATAATTCACTAATAATCATAATAGTCCACAATAACAATCATCCAAAGAGAAAACACCACTAAACCATAAAATTATTTAAAACGTTATCCAAACCAATATAAATATCCATAGTGCAACAGTACTAATAAAATGGAACTAAATATAAAATAACAATATCTAATACATATTTTCACTTGAATCTCTTCTGTGATAGACATATTCTCTCCCGTCAGTCATTTTAATTTAATTGAGTTTTTCTTGAAAGAAACAATCATATAACATATTATGTTTATAACAATTTATTGAATAATTATAATTTTAACATGCACTAAGGGTCCGTTTGGGGCGGTGGTGCGACACTGCATCGCAGCTTTGTCGATTTGGGTGAACTGTGTTTTGATAACTTTTTCAAAAAGTTGCCGCTGAAATCTGCGTTTTCCCACAACTCTTGGCTAGACGCGGTGATAGTTTTCTAGTTGCAGTTTGACTTAAAAAAAATATTTTGTAATAGCCACCGCAACTTTTTGAATCATATTATTATTCAACAACTTCACAGTTGTTTTTTAATAAGCTGCTGTTGACCTCATTTTTAGTGAGGTCTTAATTGCAAATGTTTAAACATGAATGCTCAAAAAAAGTCATTGTGATTAATCCGTAAAGTATATTCTAAAATTTTCAATTTAATAAAAATAATTTATATGAAATTATTCAAACATTTATATTTTATATTTTCTTTCTTTTAAATAGGTTATCTCAGGAGCATCATAAAATTTATACTAAATAAGGTACGACAATTTTTACTTTTAATTTTATTTTTATTTTTAATTTTATTTTCATTTTCATTTTGTGCACGAATATAATAGCATTCTTAGCTAGTATCATAAGAGAGTTACTCCTGAATGACTTAAACATTTACTTTTCATTTAGAAGATATTTAATTCCTTTAAACATTTAATCCATTTGTTAAAATTTTTATATAATGTAAAAGGTAGATCAATATAAAACAATAAACGGTCATTTAATTTTTCTGTTATGTTTTTTTTAATTATTGAAATATTTTTAAGCTTTTTACATATATAAAATAAATGAAACAATTTGAAACAATACATGCCCATTTAAATTTTTATATTTTCTCTTATGTAGTTTATATTTTATACCATCGGAACCAGGTTATGTCCAGGGTAGTTTCAATGATATTTTCTCTTATGCCAATACATGCCCATTACATGTACTATTAAAATTTACTATTACTATTTATATATATACAATTTGAATAAAGCATTGAAATGACTATTTACATTTTGAAACAATACATGTCCTTTAATATTCTGCTTTAACTAACTGAAATGCAGAATATTTGGCCACAAACTCTATACCACTTTTTTCAATTCTGATCATCAAAATATCTTCCTGAATTTCGGATACATTTTATCACTTCTTAGTTGAATAGTCCAGCCAAACAACTTTGCTTCCTCCAAAATTACTTTTATCAATTTATCAATATCTGGAATATAAATCTTGCTTGTGTATTTTCGCAATTCTCTGGAATATAAATCTTGCTTGTGTATTTTCGCAATTCATCTTCATCTATTATATATTCATCAAAACTATCTGACCTGATTTGATTTAAGATTTTTTGAATAGTAAGAAGATCTATGGTTAATGAACCCTGATTATGCCTTTCAAAGTGGACTGAAACGCCAACTAATTCAACCGAAAAATATTTTTCATCACTATAATCAATCATTAACAACATTTGTCCTTTCATATCTTTAATTAATTGCTCTTGCTGAGAACATGCCTAATTTAAATTACTTGAAGTATTCCTGTGCAGTGCATCTACAATAATATTTGATTTTCTCAAATGATACCATATATTCAAATCATAATCCTTACTAAATTTTAATCGTCTCTGTCTCAAACTCACTTATTTTCGATTAAATATATATTTTAAACTCTCATGATCAGTAAAAATTTCACATATAATTTCATATAAGTAGTGTCTATAAATTTTAAGTGTAAATACAACTACTACTAGCTCCAAGTTATATGGGTAATTTCTTTCATGATTCTTTAATTAGCTAAAGCCATAAATAGTATTTTTTTTCATGCGGCATAAAAACGCATCCCAAATGTTTTAATGATGCGTTACTAGAAATTTGAAATTCATTAGATCTTGAGGGGATAATCAATTTTGGCGCAATCATTAAACAAGTTTTTTAGCTTCTAGAATGCTTCCTCACGTTGATCTATTTATTCAAATTTTATCACTCTCTATATTAATTTAAATAACGGCATAGAAATCTGAGAAAAACATTTTGTAATAGCCCCCAAAACATAGAAAAATCCTCAGCTTCTATAATTGTAGTCTATCTTGACCAATCTACAATTGTTTTGATTTTGTTCTGCTCTACAGATATATCCTCTTTACTGATTATATGCCCAAGAAAATTCATACTTTTTAACTGGAATTCACATTTTGATAATGTTTTATTAACCTTATCCTCTTTCAAAATTTACAAATCTGTATGCAAATGATCTTAGTGACTCCTTTCATCTTTTGACTAAACCAAAATATCTTTTATAAATATATTGAGTTCATGATGTTTGACAGAGAGGATGATCTAAGTGATAAGGATTGGGAGGGGCAACCATGTAGAGGTCATGGGGCGCTGTTGGAATTGAGTCATGTCAAGAGTCAGAGCGTTGGCCGATGTAGTAGTCAATATGTTAAGGTTAGGTGTTGGTGGTTGAACATTAGTAGGAGTGTTTGGAATTTGTTGTTTGGTGTTGGAAGGTTTTTCAGGATGAGGGGCATCAGGCCTAGTTCGGCTAAGGATCCTAACTCGATAGAGCGAGGTAGGAGGGGGTTTAAAGTGAGGGGCTTTGGGTAAGAGGAGCAGTTATGCACAAAGTATTGATGTGTATACAAATGGATGGCTTCCACTCATATTCTACCATTTGAATAACATCCTTCACTTTATCATAAATATAATATAATTAGGTAAGACATAATAAGTAGTTTTTTGAACACTAACCCTAGCTAAAGTTAACCAACTCCCTTTAGCTGTAACAGGATCTACAAAGAAAGAACAATGTTGTAGTCAATCTTAGAAGTGTATGTTTCATTTCAAGAAACAAAGGAATGCTTGAAAATTTGGCCCAAATTGAGATTTCCTTGATATCTTCCTTTATAGGCTTAAAGTCTGCACTCCATCTCTTAAAAATAAAAGGCCTGCCCATAATGGACCAAGAACCACCAAATAAAACAATTTTCAAATCTTCTGAGCATGTAAATTTGAAAAGAAAGTAACCATTTGTAAGAAGAATAAGGTCAATAGTACCTTGTAACTCTAAAGTTTGCTGATAGGTTGGAATAAGTTACCATAGAATGGTCGTTTCTCGAGCGAGTAACCAGTGTGAGCTAGGCTCCATTGTTTGGATCATCACCAATTTCATCATTTGAGAAGACATCTTTTTTCCCCTACAGAAGGTATGAAAGTGAGATTAAAGTTGGAGGAGCCATGGAGTTGAGAAGATAAGAGACTCTTCCGAGAGAGAGAGAGAGAGAGAGAGAGAGAGAGAGAGGATGGGTGTGGCAAAGAAAGGAGGATCCATAGGGTGTTGGCCAAAGGCCTCGTCGCAGGGGAGAAAGAGTAAGAATTGTCCATTAGGGTTTAGAAACGGGTGGGGGGAAGAAAGAAGGATCCATAGGGTGAAGGACAAAGGCCAAAGGTCTCGTCGATAGGGGAGAAATAGATAAGAATTGTTTGCTAGGGTTTAGAGAGGGGACTAAGAAAAGAGGAAATGAATCAGAACGTGAAACCCTAGCAGAGCACATGCATAAAATCAATTAACAGAGGACCGTGAATTATAGTGTTTCAAAGCCATTCACTTGAAAGAAAACTATTCATTTTTTAAGCATTGGGAGCCACTTAAAGTAGGTTTTTTATTAACCCACTTGATTTGAGGAAATCTAACTTAAGAAAAATTGAGCATTTGATATTTGTCAAAAAAAAAAAGGGTGAAGTTGTGTTTCCTAAATGGTAAACTGTAAATTTTCAGAAATAACTCTATTATCCATAGGCATAAGAAACTTGTGATATCCGATAGTAATAGGGAAAATACATTTCATACAATGTAGCTCTTAGAATAAGAGTAGCTAATCTTTTGGGTAGTTTGTTGGATGTGAAATCATCAAAAGATAAAAGAGAGGAGAATCCATGATATTGATGATAAGTTCATGAAATAAAATTAAGTTTGGTACATTGAAATATGGAAAAATACTTGAACTTCTCAAAAATTTCATTTCTTAAGTAGTTACCCCAATGCACTATTTGATTTTTTAAATGGTCGTATTTTTTAAAATTAATTTCTAAAAAGCCTCTGTTTGAAAACCTTCAAGATTCAGGCATGTTATCACCTATTCACCTAGTTCGAATTTCACAAGTCTCCTCGTCACATCATTACTCTACTTGTCATTGCCAAGATTAATATTTAAATTCATGTGAATCTCTTTATTTCATGCAAATTAGACAAATCAAATTGATATAAAGTAATGAAAATATTATACTTCAACATTTTTGCTGATGGATATTAATATTGTTTTGTAATTTAGTCTTTTTGATGATGAGGTAAGAAAGAAAACTGAAATAGGCTATGATGAGCAACCTTCTTAAAGGAAATTAACCAAAATGGCTTAAATATTAGTTGCAATAATTTATGAGTTTCGAATTCATCCAGATGGATGAAATTTTAAAATTCAAGTTTCACTTTAGGCGTGTTATAATTTTGGTTGCCTTATAAAACCCATTTTCATCTCCTCGTCGAAGGTGTAAATCAAAGTGAATGGTTCTCCCATAATCATGGCTTTAACAAGCGAATCAAACCGGTCTGTGAACCAGCCATATTTACCGTTTATGCAATCAGAATCGGGGAGAACTGAGATTGAACCATAAGAATCGGGGAGAACTGATGAATTGGCTAATTTTTAAAGAATTAGCATTTCAAATATTATTCAATTTTAGCCTTTTAATTTTGATAAATTTACACTGAAAATAGAGAAAATGCCATGTCTCAAAAATTAATAAAAAAAGTATCAACATAGAATTTGTACTGAATTTATAAGGAGCATGATAACTCAACTATGAGTACAAATGCATTTCTGTACTGCACTTGGAATTGTACGAATCATGATTGAAAATGAAAATGTATGAAAATGAGCTAAAATAACTCACTATTTTTAGGCAAAAAACATTATCTATTGGATCGATCTGAAACAAAAAATAGACTCAAAACATAATTAAAACAAACAATTTAATGTTGGTTTAAACATGCAATAAAATTAGAATTTACCAAACCCGCAATAGGACGCGCAAACACATAGATGCGAGTGAACAAAATGATTTCTTTAAAGCTCCAAATAAATAGCTACGTGTGCGTTTTAAGTTATAATTTTGCCCAAAATTTCATTCATGTGTATCATGAGAATATTTAGGCAGTTACTATACTTTATTGTGCAAGCACGCTGGTGAGTGCGCCAATGTTTGAAATTCATGATAGACGTCACACACACCTGTAGCAAAGATAAAATTAATTATGCCATGCTGTCGGCCGTTTTAATTTTGATTTTGAAAAATATAGGAAAATATGAAAATAGTTTTGATATGAATATGATTTTTGAAAGTAACATTTTGATTTAAAAATAGGGGAGACCAAAAGAGTCTCACATTTTGGATAGTTTAGATAACTAAGCACGATACCACAAGTAATACACTTATCCCGAAGAATAAACAAATCACTTGTAGTAGGTTCAATCACCTAAACTAAAGAATTTGTGACATTCGTTTGGTCTGCGAAATATTTTATATGAGGCCAACAAGTTCCCCTACCTAATATGAGGATTAGATAGGGTTTATTTTACCTTGGTTCCAAGTTCCCTATAGAGGCAAACCCCTATAGTTAATTACATCTTAAATGACTGAGGTCACTTAAGAAAACTCTCGATTAAGATCAGTGGTTTTGCCTTCAAGATTTCAAAGTTTAGGTTTCCAAGATTGGATATAAGAAAATCAAATGAGAGTGACTCAAAATATGAACAATTATTTTACAGAATCCAAAGGAACGAAGGGCAGGGGATATCACAGATCCAGGGAGAACCTCGGTGACCTCTCAACTATTCTATTGTTTGACTTTATATCTTTGAAATGATGTTGTTTAATGTTTAATCCTGCAATTTATTTAGAATTTAGGACTTATATTCACACGATATCTGATCGTGCAAATAGCCTAAAAATATAAAAGAGTTTACATCATACCGTACGATAACCTTAGAATCCTAAAGTGTTAGGACTTGTAATTACATCGTACCGTACAGTAGCCAGATGTGTCTTTGTACAACTTTTACATGTTAGTTTTGAGAGCTTTGTACATAAGTTCTGGGTAAATATTTTTATTATTTTCTATTTAGCAGCTCTGTATAATTTTTATATTTTTGGATGAATTAATCTTCATGCTTCCGAATATGTAATTGAAATGCAATGTATCACGTATGTTGCAACAATCTAGTTAGAGTAACTTATCACCTACTGGGTCCTGATTTTAAAAGTCAGGACGAGTGCTACTGAGAGTTGATCCAATCAAATTGCTAGCCTTTGTCGCACCTCAACCGACCCTTTAGGGGGGTTTTTAGCTCTAGGCTTCTGTTTAGAGTCTAGGCAGCCAGTGGTCGGATTACTGTTTCTAATTATGTCCATGTTTTGGGATAAGTTTTATGAAGTTTGCTTAATCTATAGCTCCCTACCTTGGCATCTTTCTTTAAGCTTACCACAAATTTATTTTCTAAACAGAAAGCATACAAATGAATTTAAATGAATTTCTTTCTACTAATTATTTATAGAGACTTATGAAAATTATTACCTGCAAATTTCTGTTTCATTGTATGAAATACAAGTCTTTTTATCCGTAATCTGATCTATTTTACCTGATACATTTGTATGTTAAGGTGGTTATGTCATTTCATGAATGCGGGGGCAACATTGGTGATGATGTATGCATTCCTCTTCCTCACTGGGTAGCAGAAATCGGTAGAAGCAATCCTGATATCTTTTTCACGGATAGAGAGGGACGGCGGAACCCTGAATGTCTTTCATGGGGAATTGACAAGGAAAGGGTTTTAAGAGGCCGAACTGCACTTGAGGTACACATACACCATCAAGCATAAATTTTAGTAGCTGAATAAAGGTGAATGATGCTTTGTATACTTATCCTAGGATGTCTTATATTACCTTCTACTATTGTTTTTGCTTTTATTCATTTTTAAGAAATGCTTGCACCATCAAGGCAATAATTTAGTTTTGAAGTACTCATGCAGGTTATGTTCATTAATGAAGTAAATCACTAGTTATTTGCTTATAATTTCCATTTGTACCATATTCTTTTGGGCACCTTATCTGAGCTGCCTAGCAATTTATTCATCATCATCATTTTTCTTATCCCTGCTTCTAGGGTTCGATTTACTATTTTTTTCCTATTTATGTTTGATAAGTGCTACTTTCGTTGTTCATTTTTAGCTTATACAAGTTAACCTTTTGAGTTTCTTGCCATATGACAGAAGTCATAGGCCATGCATGCAAGTGAATATGTGTTAGCATGAATGCATAGCATATGTTCTTGTATGATATGATAAATCATAAATGCATGCCTGCATATGTAAAAAGAGGTTTTTACCTTCATATTTCTTTCATTTTATTTTTCTTTGCTTGTCTTATTCATTTATCTTTTTCCATACATTCTACGTGCCCTCACCCAACTCACGTTTTTACTTATATTAAATTGGTGATTCTACTCTAGTACCTGTCTTTCTAATTTGAATATTTTTTACTTCTTACATCGTTTTTTTTAATCCTTTTTTCACTTATTTTTGCCTCGTCAATTTTGTTGTCAATGGCTTTGTTTTTGCCCAACTCTTGAATCCCTAGCATGGAAAATTAATTGTAATTATATAAGTTTTTCTTTTTATCTCTCAATAATTATTTTTTTGCATAGTACTTTGAGGCGTTTCTCTTTAAATTAATCATCAATTTTAAACTCTAGAATGACCTTTTTATTATGATTACTTTATTTGTATAATAAATACAAGATATTTTAATACATCTTTTTATCTTATGCAACCTAGTCGATAGCAAAGGAGACTCGCACAAATTTCTTCCTTTCCGAAGGTGATTCTTTATATCATAGATGAAAAATATCATTACTAAAGAAAGCACAAACAAACACCTTAGGAATATCATACAACCTAACAATTTCTTTTAACATATAAATTGGATAATTTATCAATTGAATTTGTCTGTTTAATTGATAAGAAATGAGCTCACTTAATTAATCTGCCAATAATTATTCAAATACTATCATGATCGTGTTTAGATTTAAAAAATCCCATAACAAATCCATCATAATTTTTTCCATTTTTACTCGAGTATTGGTAGAGATTGTAATAATTTATTTGGTCTTTGCTGCTCTGCCTTGACATTCTGACAAGCCTGACACTTGAACATATATTCAAAAACATTTTTCTACATACATAGTCATAAGAACATCAATTTCAATTTTTTACATTTTTTAACTTTCTTGATGAAAAAGGTATATCCTCCATGATGTGCGTCTTGTACAAATTTTGTTTTAAGTCTGAATCACTAACAACTATAATTTATTTTTTGTAACATCTTATTTATAGTAACATCCTATCTCCTTCCTGATTGATTTTCTCAATTAATTTCAAATATTTATTGTTAACCTTTTTTAGTTGCTGGCATTTTATCTATCAATGTTGATTGCACTATGATTTGGTGTAAACACCCAACATCATTAAGTCCTCAATTTTGTAATTGCAAATAATCCATTTATTTAATCAATTCTAGATGCTTAAACAATTATTCTTTTATTATGCATTAAGACATCTCAAATATTTTAATGATGCATCGCGGTAACTGTGAAATCTCTCTATTCTTAATGGGATAGTTAAAACTGGTATAATTATCAAATATTTTTTCAATTCTTGAAAACTATGCTCGCATTATTTTGTCCACATAAATTTTATATATTTTCTCATCAACTTAGACAATGAGATGACTGTATGTGAGAATTCTTTGAGGAATCTCATGTGATATCCAATTAATTCTAAAAATTACGTATTTGTGTAACATTCCTAGTTATTAGTCATTTCAGGATTGCTTTCATCATTTGAAAATCCATCGAAATTTCTTGATCTTTAACGATGTGTCTCAGAAATGCAATACTTTACAATCAGAATTCACATTTTGAGAATTTTGCATGCAATTGATTTTTTCTCAGCAACTTCAAAAGTGATATGTATAATCATCATTAGCTTTTAAAATAAATTAAAATATCTTAATAAATATGTTTACAAACTAATTCATATATGGCTTGAAAATCCAATTCGTCAAATTAATAGACTTTATGAGTGTATCGCAGAGGAAATGATTTGAAAAGTTAGGCGTATCGTGAAGTCAATGGCTCGGGGAATGGACATGTCATGGAGGCAGTGACCAGAAAGGGTGTGCATACCGTGCAGGGAGTGTTCCAAAGAATGGGTGTGTCGTGAAGATAGTGAATCGAATGGGTAGGCATGTCGTGGAGGTAGCGGTCCAAAAGATGGGCGTGCTGTGGAGGCAGCGGCCCGAAGAATGAGCTTGCCATTGAAGTAGAGGTCCGAAAGAGTGGACGTACCGTGGAAGCACTGACCCAAAAGGGCGGGCGTGCCGTGGAGACAGTGACTCCTAATAGTAGGCGTGTTGTGGAGGCAACAACCCAAGAAATAAGTATGCCACGGAGGCAGTGACTCGAAAGGGTGGGCGTGTCATGGAGGCAGTAGCCTAAGGAATGAATATGTCGTGGAGACAATGATCTGAAAGGGTTGGCATGCCATAGATGCAACAACCGAAAAGGTTGGTGTGTCGTTGAGGTACCTGAATGATGGGTACGTTGTAGAGGCAGTGACCCAGAAAGGGTAGACATGTTGTGGAGGCAACGACCCAAAGGATGGGTGTGCTGTGGAGGCAGTGACCCGAAGGGGTGGGCGTGTCGTGGAGACAAGGGCCGAAAGGATGTGAACCGAAAGGGTGAGCGTGCCGTGAATGCAGCCGCCCGAGAAAAGAGTGTGTCGTGGAAGCAATAACCCAAAAGGATGGACGTGTCATGGAGGCAACAACCCGAAGAATGAGTGTGTTGCGAATGTAGTGACCCTAAAGGGTGGACGTGCTGTGGAGGCAGCGACTCGGAAGGGTGATGATCCTTACTGGGGGGAATCATACAAATGGAGTGAGTGCGAGAATGAACACTCAAAGTGCAACTCAAGCATGTGATAAGGGTTATGCAAAACATATAACATAAGAGGTATTATGTCGTTCGCCTAGAGTATAGGATGCCATTAGGAAAAATTACACCTTGCCCCAACAACAACCAGACACATGCAATTGGCAAGCACATACAGGGTATAGTGTGCCATGCATGCAAGCAAACTGGCACTAGTGCACATGCGAAACATACACTATGCAAGTGATCGATCGATCAGGCTAGGGCGACTAGCCAGACCAGAGTGATTGATCAACCGAGCCAGGGCGGCTTGTTAGATCCAAGTGGGTTGACCGGACTGGAGCTGAAGTGGTCGTTTGGTCAAACCTAAGTGGCCAGCCGATTTGGTCGGGGCTGCTGATTTGACCCAAATTAATCAGTCTATTGGTCCAGGACCGTCGATTGGACCAAAGTGGTCAGTCGACTGGGCTTGTGTAGCCGGGCCGGGGCGACTGGTCAGAACAAAGTGCTATGTCAACCAGGTTGGGCTACGGTCGAGTCAAGGTGTTATGCCGATTAGGTCAGGGTGGCCGATCAAGGCAAGATGCAAGTGCAACATGCTTCAAGCAAGACACATCGTGTTGCAATACAAAGCAAATGATCATGCTCGATAACAAGTTATACTCGTGCTAACGTCCTCGCTTGGGAACTTAGGATTTAGCACATGGATATGCGGTATAGTCGCCTTCTATTTTGGCGAGGCGTGTGGGGAGTTTACCTTTGAATTTATAAAAAGGAAATTCTCCATGATGTTGGGGAATGAGCTAGCTACAAAGCTTTTCCCATTTCACAACTCATGATTTTGCAAAGTGAGTTAGCTACAAAGCTTTTGTCAACATCTCAACCTTTCCAAGGAAGGTTGGGAGCGCCAATGTAAGGCAAAATGAGGATTCCAACCCGTTAGGATTTTGGTCTAAGGTTCGCAACGAGAAATCTTGCGGCTCCGCAAAGGATTTGACAATGTATGTGATTCCTAACCTAGAGCTTTCTATAAGAAATAAACAACCAATCCAAGTGCGTGTGGCCGTGCTGACTAGTGTCGGCCGGCCAACTCACCCCGTGAGGGCGACCAAACCCACAACTCCTAGCAAAAATCTAACCCTCGAGCTAACTAAGAAAGAAAACACTAAGGATTTAAGGAGTTTTACCTACGTAACGGTTGGGAATGTGTTTCTTCAAGTAGGATGAAGCTCCCCTAACGGTAGAAGAGAAACTTATGTTCCAGCGAAGCTCCGGCGAGATCCACTCCACTCCTTCTCCAAAGGACGAAGAAGCTCTCCTCTAGAAGAAGAGTCTGAAGAGACTCCAACAAAGTTTCGAGCTCTGACGATGCTCCGGCGGTGCTCTGACAACCCTTCCCCAAGTTAGAGTGAAGCTCTCCTTTAGTGCAGGAGAGAGTAAACCTTGCTCCCTTGCTAGCCAAACTCCTCCTCAAGGAAATCTCCTCACACAATCATTGTAAGTGGTGGAGGAAAATGAAGGAGGGGAGGAAAAAAAGAGGAGGAAGAAGAGTTTCTTGTGGAAGAAGAAGAAAGGGAAGAGGAAGTAGAAGCTCTCACTCTCACCTTTTTCCCAAGCTCTCCATCTCAAAACCTTCAAGAAGAAGCCTTAGCTCCATGGGAGAAGAAGAGTTTTTCCTTGTCCTCTCAAGCCCTCCAAACTTCAGCCCTCCAAAAACTGAAAATGAGAGGAGATGGGGAAGAAGTGAGGCTCCCTTAGGTTAAAATCAGCTCACCTAAGGAAATCCCCAACTTGCTCTTGATTAAGCCAAAATTGTCTAATGAGGGGTATTTAGGGCATGCCAGATGAGGCTAAACCCATGGGTTAGACAGGCCCCCCCCACCCCCAACAATGCATTTCTCCTCAAGCCCAAGGAGATCTCTACAATGTCGGTTCGTTGGGGGGCGCTCCGACGTCAAATTGGCACCAGAAACTGCCTTTTTCACGACTTGAAATGAACCAATGCCTAGGCACAACGACCCTGGCTCGTAGGCGCCACCCAGGTGGCGCCTACTTTCCCGTCTTTTGGGAAAAGGCCATTTTGAGCTGTTTTTGGCACCTAGGCGCCCCAGACTGCTTGGCACCAGAAACTAACGTCAGACTTCGAAGGGCTCGGTTTTGATCATCCTGGAGGGCATTTTGAGCACTTAGGCGCCCAGGGCTGGCGCTTAGGTGCCAATCTAGCCCCAAAAATCCTGGTTCACATCAGAAGCACTTGACGGGGGATTTTTTCGATCCGAAGGCTATGGGAGACCATATATGAGTAACTTATGATCCCCTTACCTCAATAATGTTACTGGTCCATTGATCGGAGAATTTGTTGCCGGAGGCGCTCCGGACTACAGCGCGGGTAGGGCATTCCAAACCCTAATTTTTTCATAGTGCACGTCGAAAGGGTGGTTCCATTACTTCTCTTGACTGGGCTCCAAATGGATACAGAGAGATCTATAAACACCATAGTGGACACCATGTTCAATGTCCTGAGTAGGCTCGCTGAACAACGGATTCTCCCGGGTAAGGACGAATCGTCGCAGACCCTAGTTTCGGGCCCCGAACACATACCAGAGGTTTCAAGTGGGTGCCTTGAGATACGAGTTACCGTGAATGAGCCTTGAATTGTCCCGAGCTAGTCATGCGGACACCCTACACACATGTCATCAAAAGTCGACGCCAACGATGATTTTCATTCATATAAAAGTTATAAGCAAGAAGTATACTGAAATTAAAAGATTAAACCTTTAAAAGTAAAGCTAATTTTAATGCATATAAAATTCTAGATTTCTTCCAATAGCAAATGTCATGAATACATTAGCTAGATTATTATATAATTTTCTATAACAAAATAGGAATGACTAGCATACATGTTGTTTTTTTTTATTTGGTTATTGTAATTTATAAGTGTTATTACTTCATTAGGTTATTTAGGATTGCTCATTATATTGTTTTAACATTTTCAGGTTTTAAGTTTTTGAATATAAGATGGGTATCAAAAGTGAGACTGTTTATAAAAGACGAGGTTGGGAAATCGAAAGGTAAACTTTTTATCTATTAAATTAAATTATTTTTTTAGTGATTCTTTCAATTTATTTGGGTTTTAAATTGTTAGTGATAAAAAAATATAAAATTGAATTTCACCGTCCGATCTATCATTTTTGTCTTCAAAACTATAAGCCCTTAGGACGGGTCATGATAAAGTTTGTGATTTTTATTCATTAGTAACTTGAGTGATTTTAGTTAGGCTAGCTTTAACAAGATAACTTTATTTTTTTTATCTCAAACATATAGATACCAAGGTTGTGGGAGAGGAATTACCACATAAGATCACTATTAATACAAATGTCCTAACTTGAATAATGTCAACGATGATGCAACTGGTTTAGAATGCTAGATCGTAGTCTAATGGAAGTGATACAATTGTTGTGGATAAGTACCTAAGGAAGTTTTGAGATCTATGACCACCATTGTTTAACGGAATTGAAGGTTTAATTGAGATGGAGAATTGGCTGATGATAATAGAAAATATACTAGACAACATGTTGTGCCAAGATGAAAGGAGAGTACCATTGGTTACATTTATATTGGGCTAGAAAGCAAAAAGGTGGTTGTTTGGGCAGTGTCAGGATAGGCTAGGGACATACCTAACATGATGTTTGATTGAGAAGATTTTGTGGAGATTTTTAGAAAGTGATTTGTGCTCATATCTGCTTGAAGACGAATTCATCAGATTGATACAGAGAGAGAAGACAGTTATGCAGTATGAAGCGGAGTTTACTATATTGCTGATATATTTATCACAATTGATAGCTACTATAGAAGAAAAATGTTACATATTTTTTTTTTGGATTGAAGGATTCAATCAGATAACAGTTGGTACCTTTGAGGATTGAAGCTTACTTGGTGCTAGTGGAGAGGGTCGAGCGAGTGGAAATTGATTTCAACTTACTCAAAAGCATAAGGACATGCACAAGAGGAAGAGCTTGGAAGAAGTGACACCAACTGTTCATTTTGGAGGATCTAATGAAAAAAATAAGATCATATATTGTTGGAGTTAATTGTCAGGCTCACAATAATGCTATAAAGCCTCACAATAATGCTATAAAGCCTTTTGTTAAGTGTGGGAAACTACACCATGATGAATACATATTTTGTTTGAACGATATCTCCTACGTTGTCCTCCTCTCATTCACACTCTCGACTCCCAACTAAGTGAATCTTGTCTTGGTCGCGTCATTTGTAGGCGAACTAGTCGTCTAGGCTTCCGATCCCCTTGTTTTAATTTCCTGACTTCTCGCTTCATCTCTCTCCTCACCGGCTTCCCGATTACTCGATTCATCTTCCTCTTTTCCTTTGGTTCTCTTGTTTCCTATCCCCTAATTAATATTAACGGGACGTTACAAAAGCTAATGTTAATGCATGTAGAATTTTAATTCTCTTCCACGAGTAAATATTATGAATACATTATTTAGATTATTATATGATTTTCTTATGACAAAATAGGAAAAACTCTTATACATGCTATCTTTTTTTCATTGTGTTATTATAGTTTAGAAGTGTGTTACTCTACTGAACTATCTTGAATAAGTCCTTATATTTAAATATTTTTAGGTTTAAGTTTTGAATAGAAGATGAGTATTAGAAGAGAGAATGTGTACATAATAGAATGTTAGCAAACAAAAATTATTTGTTAAATTAAAATATTTTTTTAGTGGCTTTTTCAATTTATTTGAATTGTAAATTGTTAGGGATAGAAAAAAAGTAAATAGATAATTTAATTTCAACGTTCAACCATCCGTTCTAGCATTGAAAATTCCAAGCGCGAGGGTAGGGTCGTGACAGTTCCAATCCTAATATGAAAAGTCAGAAATTTAATTATTTCTCGTCAAAGCTCATCTCGTCAAAACTCTTATCTTTCTTACTCATATCATCAGTATATATGCCTACTTAGCACATAACATCTTTTTGATCATTTTTTTTGTTATAACCATTTCTCTATTCATTAATTTTCTAACTTGAATGTATGTGCAACAATCACTTAATTAAAAAACACAAGAAATACAGTTTGACAGGTTTTAATCAGAAATCTATATTTTCTTTTGCTGTTCTATGAAATAGTGCAATTTAAAATTAAACAAATAATCATTTGTATGATTAAATCAGACTCACGATAATAGCCATGTTCAATATGACAAGATGTCTAAATGTAAACACTTAATAGGTAGTATATATTAATAATCAATAACAAATATTAGCCCTATTGACATTTTTACTTTTTAATTTAGCAGTTGAATATCTCATATCAATCAACTAGTCTTTCACAGCATGAAATTTTCTAGGCTAGCCTTGAACTCTCCGTGTAATATAGACGACATAGAAATCACAATTTTCTCCAAGTTTAAGGAAGATTTAAATTAAACTTAATTTAACTTATTTATAATCTCAAATGACTTTCCTGCATCAAATTGGTTTTCCTGCATTTTTCTTTCAATTTCCTATGGTTAACCATGGCTGCATATGTATAATTTGCGTAGATGAAATTTATGTAGCGTGAAAGTTCAAAAATGGGAATTGACAATTACTGATTAAAGTGAAATTTCCAGAGAGTTTTTGGAGAATTTAAAGAATTTTTTTTAAATATGTGATGAATTTTGATATGAATTTCTAGCTCTAAATGAGCCTTCTTTAAACCACTTTTTCAGCGCACCCTCAACTATTCAATTTGTTGGCTTGTGTCTCTAAACTTTCCACTTGCACTTTCTTTCTTTTGCTTGATTTCAATTGAACTTAATGATTATTTATTCAACATACATTTAGGTATACTTTGACTACATGAGAAGCTTCCGAGTTGAATTCGATGAATTATTTGAGGATGGAATCATCTCCGCTGTAGAAGTTGGATTAGGGCCCTGTGGAGAGCTACGATACCCATCTCATCCAGTCAAACATGGCTGGAGATATCCTGGCATTGGTGAATTCCAGGTACTAATTAAGTTGGAAGTTTTTGCCATGATAATTGATTTTAAATATTTTAACAACTTGGGGATTGCTCGGGATCCCTATTGTTTTTTTTATTTTTCTTTTAAAAATATGTTTGATTAGTGTATGTTTTTATTTTTATTTTTGGTATTAAAAAAAAAATTAGTTTTTTTAATACTCAAAAATCCAAAAGTTCTTTTGATTGTTTTTAAAACAACTGAACATATTATAATTTATCAAAGATGTTTTATTTCATGTAAAAATAAAAATAAAAATAAAAATAAAAAATAAAAATGAAAAATAAAAATCAAAAGTGGTCCCAAACGACCCCTTGGATAATACACATGAATTGTTTGTTGCACGTCCAAAGTTGTATGCAGTTGTCAGCTACTTAGCTTGTAAATTATTTTCATAATGGTTTAATACCTTCAGAGAGAATGATTTTGTCTAACATTACAGGTTATGCACTGATATATATGTGTTGATTGTGCAGTGCTACGATCAATATCTCATAAAAAGTTTGAGAAAGGCGGCTGAAGCGAGAGGGCACTTGTTCTGGGCAAGGGGTCCAGAAAATGCAGGGTCTTACAATTCAAGGCCCCAAGAAACTGCATTCTTTTGTGATGGTGGTGAATATGATGGCTACTATGGCAGATTTTTCCTTGGTTGGTATTCACAGTTTCTTGTTGATCATGCTGACCATGTACTATCTTTGGCTAAATTGGCTTTTGAAGGCACTTGTATTGCTGCAAAGGCAAGTCAAAGATTCTTATTGATCAGTTTCTTAAATAGATGAATCTCCTAGTGAGCTATAAGCTTAATCTTTTAACAGAGAATCATTGGCAATGTTTGATGATTTTTGGGACTATGAATTTTTGAGTATTTGTGATTTAGTGGTTACGGGCTTGAATTATTGAAACAAACTCCTGGAAATGATGGGGGAAGCGCATGTGGATCAACTCATCTTGAGGCCTTGAGGTCTATATTGATGGGATATCACAGCACTGGGTAGTCTCTTTTTATGAGTACTGTACTTGATAAAAAAAAAGATGGATGGCCTCATGCGGGTGCTTAGGTTGATTTTTTTTTAACGGAGTCTTAAAAAGCTTTTATTTTTTTTCTTTTTACCAATAAAATTTAGGTTATACAATAATAACGCCAGTAGCTTTCAAAATTATCTTTTTTCAAATTTTTTCTAATCATTTAGCTTGTTTCTGAAAGCAAACTAAATAGTTCCGCATATTTCAATAATTGGTACATAAAAACCCTACCTTGGTAGCTTTGTGGTAATATTAATTCATTATGCACATCCTCCAATTAAGTTGGGTCTCTGGAAATCCTGAATTCAGCAGCTATCCTAATCAAATCTTTCCCCTGCTGCCCTTGTACTGTCTTTGGCTAAATTGGCTTTGAAGGCACGTGTATTGCTGCAAAGGCAAGTCAAAGATTCTTATCGATCAGTTTTTTTAATAGATGAATCTCCTACTGAGCTAACAGCTTAATTTCTTAACAGAGAATAATTAGCAATGTTTGACGATTTTTGGGACTCAACCTGAGTCCACCTGTTTGCTATCTGCAAGCCTACTATTTCCCTGCTGCCACTCCGATCCTCCTTCACCTGCTGCAATTTTTATGCCTTTCTTATCTGATGGAGAATACATTTATTTCCAGCTTTAATGCTATGCTTTATTGTAAATTTGAATAGGATAATATCCATTTTACATTTCCTTTTCATTACGGGTCTGTTATGATCTTATTTATTTACCTAGCTGTCTATCTATTCTATGTGGTCTTGTATTTTCTAAAAAGTGTATAACCCTTCCTAACGAATATGTGAAAAAATAATATAGTATTCTTCTTTTATGATTTTCAGCATCATATCAGACTCATCATTTTTCTTCTTCCTTATAGATTTTTTTTTTCCTTTCACATAATTCCGGCAAAGTGTTTTTGGTTTCTCTTGGTTCAAGCCATGACTATAGTTAAACATGAAATGATCTTGAGCAGAAGCTCCCTTTTAAGGGTCACCTCTGCCGTCACTCAACATCCTGTGGCAACAATGGTTTTGAAAAAACCTTCTCCAACTTGCTGGTTTTTCATCTCAAACCAAAATTTTCAGCTCCCAAATTTTATCAGTGCTATGACTCAAATGGTATGATCTTACATGCCTTTAGTTACCAAAATGGACATCCAAAGTCGTGGATCTTCGAGTCTAACTCATTTCTCTGATTACATGACATGGAATGCTTCATTATTTAGCAACTTTTATCCTTTTCTAAAGAATTATATAGTCAAAATTGTCAATTAAATACATCACAATTAATTGGCATTGGGATTATAAGTATCACTAGCTCTCTAGTTCTCAACTTGGATCTCTTGGTTCCTAACCTTACCTACAACACATTATCACTCAACAAACTCACCTACGATATGAATTGTTCTACTAAATTGCTTCCTACTCATTATAAATTTCACGATATAATCCAGGCTAGATAGTTGGCAATATGAAGGAATCTGCTAGCTTTTATCTCCTGAATTGAAGAATTTTAAAAGGCAAGCAAAATGGGCTCAGTATATATTTTCTCTGATGAAATTATAATAATATTTTGATGCTTTTGCCTTTTTGTCCCAATTTCATGTTCCTACAAAATAGTCCCCCTCTCTTTTCATCAATATAAATCTTGTAGCTTGTGAAACTTAAGAATCATATAAACACTCAAAATGTCTACTCTTGTTATTTTTATAAAACCTTCCAAACTTTTTGTTATCATAATGATATTTGAGGACCATAACAGAGGAACAATATCTTGGATGCTATGTACTTTATATCTTTCGTTGGCCATATGTACAGTCTGACTGACGAATTTTAACTGGCTTTATTTTTTAAAATATACTTATATTCCATTTATGTAGTTCTCCTTCAACAAGGAATTGTTAGTCTAAGTTTGTGCATTCATAATCCTCACCAAAATGGGATGGTTGTAAGAAAAAATAGAAACCTTTTGAGGGTTTCTTGATGAAATAGGATCACTACTAAAGCCCCAACATATGATTGGAGAGAGCTTGTCTTTACCGCATAATGTCTCATTAGTTGTATGCTATTAAGAATTTCTAAAATTTGAATTCCTTTTCACGTTCTCACTTAAATCTATCCTATAATAGACTCATCCCTATTATTCCTCTCAAGGTATCCAATTGCTTTATTTTTTTTTTATATTTCTTCTCGTCGAAGAGGAGAACTTGACCCAAAAACCTTAGAAGTTGTTTATTTTGGCTATTCTCTTCACCAAAATGGTTACAAATATTATTCCCATGGTAGTATAAAATATTAGGCCACCATATATGTGACCTTTTTTAAAAATCAATCATTATTCTCTAATCGTGAACATTAAAAGAGAATACCAACTCACTCTATAAATATGAGATTTTTGGTATTATCATTCTTATTTTTCGTTAACCCTCATTTTTTTCAAAGCTACTTAAATCTCATCCATTTGAATCTTTGGAGAGTTTTGATGATCACAAACAACCAAGGTACAAAGGGATTGTCTATTTTGGACAACAAAGAGGTAAAACATTTGACTTGGCAAAACAAAGCACTCTCTATTCCGACCCGTCTTAATACTACTTCCCGGAAACATGGTAATATTGACATTGAAGATGATCAAAATATACCTATTGGTGCTCTTAGGAAGATCATAAGGCGCCTAATTAGTCATTTCATTTTCTATGACAAGTTATCTCCAAAGTTATGTCTTTAGTACAAATATTTCGAGCATAAAAAAATTAAAATATTCAAGGAGCTAGTGCACCAAAATTGGTGAAATGCATTTTATGAAGAAATTTAGGCCCTTGAAAGAAATAATATGTATTTTCACGAAAGAAATAATACATGAAGTCTTTCAAATCTTTCGGAAGGAAAGAAACCAATTGAGCCTAAATGGGTCCTCAATGTAAAATATAAGTTGATGGAAGTGTTGATTAGAATGTAAGACTAGTTTCAAAGGGATACGCTCAAACATAAAAATGTCAAGAAGTCTTTGCACCTATTGTTAAGATGAATATTATCAGGGCTATTCTTTTTCTTACTACTAATCTAGATTGATCACTCTATTTACTAGTCGAAAATATTATTTTTGTGATTGTGGATCTAGAAGTTGAAATCTTAATGGCAATTCCTGTGAATTTGAATGGAAAATATGAATCAATTTACATACGCAAAAAAAATTTATATGTTTTAAAAAAAACACCAAGAGAATGGTTTGAAATATTCATCATGATATTAGAAGGAATGAATACTCTCAAAAATAATCTGACAACGCTTTATTTATCAAGAAACATCTGAAGCTAATATGTTTATTCTGATTTTTTATTTTGCTTACATCATTTGGATAGTGAATCATGAAGAAGAGGTAAAACAAGGTAAAGGTGTCTCTGCCTAAGAATTTGAAATTAAGGTATTCTATTGGTATGGAAACAAGATTATGCAGGGAGACATCTATCCTTAACAGAAATACGCAGTGGACTTATTAGATGAAGTTGGAAATCACAAAGATTCACTTGTCATTGGAAAAGATAGATACTAGTTAGTGGGAGAACTTATCTATTTTTCTCACTCCATGCCAGGTATTAACTTTTTTGTTAGTGGTAGTCAGTTTATGGATAACCCCACAAAGGAGCATATTGATACTATATACAGGATTGGGAAAAGGTTATTTTCAAAATAGGGAAAAATATAGGTGTATAAGCCTTTGCTGTTGTTAATTGGGTTGGCTCCATAACATATTGTAAATCCACATCTAGTTATTACTCATTTATGTGAAAAAAATATAGTTACGTGGAGAAGCAAAAAATAATTAATTGTAATTAGTAGTAATGCTGAAGCATAATCTAGAGTCATTGCCAATAAAGTTTGTGAAGTTATGTGGCTTGATTGTTTTCCAAAGATTTAAAAGTTTCCACTACATAACATTTGATAATGAGGGGTGCCAATCAAGTTAACTATTAGCATTTCTAAGAACTATATCCAATATGATACGACGAAGCATTTTGAGATTGATAGACACTTTATAAAATAAAAAATTAAACAAGAAATCATCCATGTTAATTGCACTCCAACAAAAATATAGATTGTCAATATATTTACTAAAGCTCTTAATCAATTACAATTGTCAACCATAGCATCAAGTTAGTAATGTTCAACATATATTTTTAGCTTGAGAGGGATCGTGGAAATCCTAAATTCAGCAATTATACTGTACAAATTTAACGCCAACAACAATTGCTAGCCTTGCTGCTATTTTCCAGCATGTTCTCTCTCTATTGCCATGCCTGTCTTCCTTTTCTTGCTACTATTTTCCAGCCTTGTTTATCTGGCGGTGAATAGATTAATTTCCAGCTTTAATTCTATGCTTTATTGTGAATTGAATGGACAAAATTCTTTATTATTTATTCCCAGCATGATGCTGCCTGTTATGGTTTTATTTGTTTTCCTAGTTGTATTCTAGGTGGTTCTGTATCTCGTATAGGTATGTACCTTTTCTACCTATTGAATATATGAAAAAAATATTGCAGTGTTCTCTTATTTCTTTAGCATTTTCAATAAAGTTCTTGGAAAATGTTTTTGTAAAAAATAAATTATATCTTGAAACTTGAGATAGTTACCTACAAATTAAAGTTCTATCAGTAATTTCTTGTTAGTGACTAAAATTTGCATTGACTTGAAGTTTCTTATGGATAGCAACACTTTAATTGTTGACTAATACTTATTTCATAAAAGAAATTTATTTTAAATATACTGAAAGGTTTTTGGATGAAAAGTTCAAAATGTTTAGTTTGATAATTTTTTTTGGTTAAGTTGGTTTTTAAGGAGAAATATTGTTAGTATTTAAGGGGAAATAGTTGGATTGATAAATTAAAACTAGCATTGTCAAATCTGTAGGTCGTGAATCTGTGATGAAAGAAATATAAAGTCAGTGTCAAGTAAAGAATCGAATTTGTTCAAGGATAGATATGATTAGCACAGATATCAACTAAGTGATCAGATCTAACATAATCTTATGCTAGATAATCACTAGCCATTAAAACTTTTTTTTTTCTATTGTTTAGATTAAACACCTTGTAGTGATGGTTGAGATTGCTTTTGAGCTGACTTACCCATGCTTCAGAATTTGTTATTTCATCAGTGATTCTGATTCATATGGCTCCTGAAAACAGATATCTGGCGTGTACTGGTGGTATAAAACAGCTAGTCATGCTGCAGAATTGGCTGCTGGTTTTTATAACTCATGCAACCGTGATGGTTATGCCTCAATTGCGTCGATCTTAAAGAGACATTTTGTTACTTTGAACTTCCCATGTACTGAATTGCGTGCTGTGAATCAGCAAACAGATTTCACAGAAGCATTGTTAGATCCGGATGGCTTGACCTGGCAGGTAACCTTATTGTGAAAGTTAGTTTTTTTTTTCTTTTTAAATGTAACTAATTTTAGTTGCAAATTAATCTTATTTGCATCCTTGAAAACAAAAAATAAAACTCGCAGAATGTCACTATCATCAGTGTTCATTTTAATTGGACATGATGCTTCCAATGGCTGCTTCTAAGTTCCTTTTTTTTGGCATTTATATACAAACCACCCAATACTTATTTATTTGATATCCAACACCTGAACTTTACATTTTTCATTTATATTACTAATTTTGGTATCACATCAAAATTGCCACTGTTTTGACTTTTAAAAAGTGAAATACACCTTTTCATGCATTGGTAAGGTGGCATATATGTAAAATTAATGTTTAGGTGTTAGATATGTAAATACATTGGAATTGAGTTGTATGTAAGTAAATCTTCCCTTTTTTTTTTATAAATTTAAAAATTCACTACAGGTATTGAATGCTGCATGGGATGCTTGTATACCTGTAGCAAGCGTGAATTCTTTCCCTTCCTTTGATAGGGACTGCTACAACAAAATTTTAGAAAATGCCAAGCCACCGAATGATCCGGATGGAAGACACTTGTCATCGTTCACTTACCTCAGGCTCAGTTCTGTCCTTATGGAGGGATGCAACTTTTCGGAGTTTGAGCGATTTGTGAAGAGAATGCATGGTAAAGACTACCCTTCATTTGCTAGAATTCTCTTTCTTGGGACAAAGCATTGCTTTACTCTAGTCTTTTATTATATTTCACCCAATTATGATTTTAGATATTGTCCATTTGATGTATTTTTAGGTCCGAAATGCAAAAACAAAAAAAGCTAAGCTCATGTGCCAATATTTGATTCAACTCCATCAATCTCCTGATAGTAGAAAAATGTTAACTATTTCTAAATAATAAGTTTGCCACTCATGAATGAAAAAAGAGCAGAAAGATGAGTTTGAACTAATGGATTTGTATACAAATAAGCTTGATCTGTGATATAGGATGTTGGATTTGTAATATAAATATAATATGTGATATGTACAGTCACCTAACAAGCACACAAAATTTGTAGGACAAAAAATGTCTCGTAATTCTCATAGCTTCGATTATTTAGATGAAATCAATCATATGGCAAACATCAATTCATATGAAATGCATAGCCTTCTACTATATATAATTTACTATAATAAGGATAAAAAATGTCTCATACATGATTAAAAAGAAATTCAAACGTTGAAAATCCAACTAAACATAATCTCACTTTCAAACCAATAACAAAACATAAAACATTAACTGGGAAAATTATCAGTAGAGAAGTACACCTTGCTCTTATACTCGTGAAAAACTCTATCTAATCTCTTCAAATCTCATCTTTGATCCAATTCTAAAGGAAGGAATTTTATGTTGAACTAGAAATTTTATTTAGTGGCTAATGACATGTGCATGCCTTTCACGCTTTTTCATAATTATAAAACAATTAACAATAACTTTTGTCACTTTAAGAGTGTAGCATAATTATTTGATCAAAATCACAATAATTCACTACTATAGTGTTTGGAAGCTCTCCACAATGAAAGTCAGATACAGGAGAAGAACTGTGGATCAACTACAGAAAATTAGGTGCAAAGCGGAGCCATAGATTAGAAATAGAATGATATGAAAATTAATTGCAAGAATAAGAACGTATAATCATTAGTAAGAAGCCATATATTAGAATAAATAGTTGCTTTTGAATAATCAACCATAAGATGTTATAGGCCGGCATAAAATCAGACATCCCAAAAGAAGGCCATAAGTACTTGCCAAAAGATTTTTTTATTTTAGTGACAAGGTAATGCCTTAGGCATGTACATAAAATAATCCTAAAATTAAGAAAAAGGCAAATTTACATACGTGGCACAAAATTCTTATATATTTACATATGATACTCCTAAACTTTCATATTTACACACATAGCACTGTGATGCTGTAAACCTAAGTATGAAAAGGTGTATTTGACCTTTTTTTTAAAAATGGTAATTGTCGAGATGTGACTGAGATGGAAATAAAGTCGTGAGAATTAATTTTAATTTCCTTAATTAAGGAAATTAGAATTAATTGGTAAATCCCTTAAATTAATGGAATTAGAATAAAGTTGTAATCCCTTAAATTAAGGGAATTAATTAAATAGTTTCCTAGTTTTTCTCCTTTTAATCTCCTATATAATACCTTGTATGATCAATTCAAAGGTAAAGAGAATACAAATTTTTATTTGGTTTTTCCATATGGTATCAGAGCCAGGTTCAAAGCCTAGAGGACATCGCCTGTGTCGGTTCTCTGCGGCCCCCCGCTCCCACTGATCTTTTGCGTTTCTTCCGATTAGCGGCCGCTTTCGCGCGCTTCTTCTGAAGGCGGCTTCTTCCGCGCGCGCGCTTCTCCAACAGCCTCGATCCAGTAGCGTTCTTCCCTCCGAGCACGGGCTGCTTCCGCCTCCTTCTCTGCGATCTGCACTTCTCAGACTTCTGCGAACTACAGGATATCCGACTTCTCCTTTCCGCTTCGTCCGAGAGGAGCAGCACGTTGTCATGATCGTCCTTTGCCGCTGAAGTAATTTTGCGTTGTTTGTCGTTGTGTGGTCGCTGCAGAGCTTGCGATCTTTTTCCGTTGTTTGCCGCTGCAATCTTGTGCCGCAGATCTCGCGATTTTGTCGTTGTTTGGATTTTTTTTTTCGCTGCCTTAATTGCTGCGATTCTTTTACCTCTGCAGGTTTTTTCTAGCCTTAATTGCTGCAAATTTTTCTTCTCCACCATGTCAATGTCCGAAACCACTATCTCCAACAACTCCAATCATTCTGAAGAATACAATGTTGTTCAGAAAATTAGAGAGTTGCAGAATATTCGGGCATCCAACAGGTTCAATGGGAAGAACTATCTCAAATGGTCCGAAATTGTCCGCACATACCTAAAAGGCAAAGGGAGGATTAATCACCTACTTGGAACCGGACCAGAAAAAAGGGATCCAGCCTCTATAGCATGGGAAGAGGAGGATTCCATGATTATGTCCTGGCTATGGGATTCTATGGACCCAACGATCAGTGACACTTGCGTGTTCTTGAACACCACAAAAGAAATCTGAGACTATATCAACCGCACATACTCGAAAGCCCGCGATGCTGCCCTTGTGTATGAAATCAAGGAAAAAGCCGGAGCAACCAAACAAGGAGACAAATCTGTCACAGAGTATGCAACTCTATTGCAGAATCTGTGGCAGGAGCTGGATCATTATCGTGTAATTGAGATGAAATGCCCTGATGATGCTGCCACCTTGAAGTTCATTGAGAAGGATCGGATATATGATTTTTTGGCAGGATTGAATCCTGAATTTGATCATGTTAGAATCCAAATCCTCGACAAGGAGGATACATCGTCTCTAAAAGAGACAATCTCATTAATCAGAGTAGAAGAAAGTCGGAGGAGTGTCATGCTAGAACCACAT